AAAAAATTATTTTAAAAATATTCATTAAAAATAACAAAACATAAAAAATAAAATACTTAATTTTTAAAAAATTAAATCCAAAAAAAAACTAAACGCATTGAATATTTTTGTAATTCTTTTTTTCTTCACTGTGTTGCGATTTTTCCTATAAAAATATTTTAAAACTCTAATATAGGAGCTTTAATAGTTCTAATGGGAAGGTGGATCCCATCCTGATGTGATGTTTGTGTCTTGTTTTACTTTTTATTTTTTATTTTTTATTTTTTTACTTTGACACATCTTTAAAACTCAATTTAAAGCTCTTTATTTAAAGCTCTCTATCATTTCCTTTTTCCTACTTTTATGCCGATGTCAGAAACTTTGTACAGGTTGCGTGCACAAGGGTTTACGTAGGATCAATAAAGCAGGGGATGTCTTCACAAAAACCACAACCTCACACCACGAAAAATTATTTTCTCATTTTTTTTTTTTAAGGGTATGGTTTTTTTTTTTTTTTGAAAGGTATGGCTTCTGTCTAGTCTGGAATTAGACTGGATCATACTGTTTAGTTTGTAAAACTTATTATCGGTTTCTTTCTGATAATCTGAACCGTTCAATATGTAGAAATCGTCGAGTACAATATGCCTGTTAAAAATTATTTTGATCGGATATCGATAGCTATGTGATCAAAACAGTTTTTTGTCAACTGTTAATTTGTTTACCGTCTAATTTTTTAATACGAAACTGATTTGATCATATAGCTATCGATATCCGATCAACGTGATTTTTTACAAGTATATAATACTCGACGAGTTCTACACATTGAACGGTTCAGATTATCAAAACGGGACCCGTGGTGGGCCTCCACGAGCCCAACAGCATGGTCCAGTCCGATCCCGGACTGGACAGAAGCCATACCCTTTTTAAAACAATTAAAAGTCAAAAAGTTATTATTCTATTTATCGTATCATTTTATTTAAGTCACATCACTTCTTTATCATATCATTTCAAATTCAATCCATATCCAATCCATATTTTATAAAAAATCAAAAAGTACACTTATTTAGAACATCCCAAACAACCCCAAGTGTGTCAATATTTTTCATCAATTGCAATACATTACGTTTCTTGTTATTATTTAATTACTTACTAGCCTATCACCCGTACTATGCACGGAATAATTATAGATATTTATATTTGTTTTAGATTTTTTTTAATATATAAGTTATGTTTTTTAAGATTTTTTATAAAAATAATTTAACAATCTTATCACTAACCATAGTGTATGAAAAAAGTTAAAAAATGTACTACAATAACTATGCATGGATTGTATCTATAATTATTTGTATGAGAGAATTTTAAATGCTGATAAGGAGATTTTGACTAAATCAATAAATGCAGACATGTGGAATGATATGTTGATTGGAAAAAGTTAATTAATGCTGATCAAGAGATTTTGACAAAATGAATAAATGCTGAGGCTTTTTTTTTTTTAAATCAAAAAAATCAAGAAATTTAGATTGGGACATTAGAGCTCCCACAATGCTTGGGGTTATAAACCCTATTTTCCTTAATATATAGATAGATGTTGTGTTTGATTGAAAGATTTAGAAAAAAAAAAATTTTAAAAAAAAAACGATGTAAAATTAAGTAAAATGTAAATATGTTTTATTCACATTTCATCTACTTTTTATATATATTTTTTTAAATTATTTCTTAAATCTTCGAATCAAAAACAGTATTAATATATCACATTTCATCTACTTTTTATATATATTTTTTTAAATTATTTCTTAAATCTTCGAATCAAAAACAGTATTAATATAAAATTATAAATTTTACGTATTCTATTAATCACAATAGTTTAAGAATACGTTAACTCTCGTGTTATTATTTAATTACTTAATATAAAATTATAAGTTTTACTTATTCTATTAATCACAATATCTTCAGAGTCATATTTGATGTGCTTTAAAATCAACTAATAACTTTTCAACACACCACGCCACACCATGATATCGTGTTTTCATTGTCAGAGATTTTTCTTTTCTTCCCATTCCTTCTATGTTCCACCCGTATTGGATGGGAATTCAGATTTTTCTCACATTTCCAAGCCTATGTCCAAACAAATAACATGCCACACCAGGACGAATTGGGATCCTCCCCTTCATTTCATTTCGGTCCTTCATTCCCTCCTTGCAGAGCCTTCGGGCCCACTTTGAGGCCCAATTTTAATAATCCGAACCGTTCATATTTTTAGATTTATTCAGTATGTCATACCTGTAAAAAATCAAGTTGATCGAATATCATAAAGTATGTGTTCGGAAAACTGTTTATTAAAAAATAGTTTGTAGTCCCAATTTTTTGAACGCATACTTTCTGATATCCGATCAATTTGATTTTTTACAGGTATAATATACTGAATAAATCTAAAAATATGAACAGTTCGGATTATCAAAACTGGGCCTCAAAGTGAACCCGAAGGCCCGTGCAAAGAGGGAATGAAGGAGGGGCTCAAGGAGGGGATCTGAACTCCGCCAGGACACCATGTTTTCATTGTCAGAGATTTTTCTTTCCTTCCCATTACTGTACTTCTATGCTCCACCAGTATTGGATTGGAAATCAGAATTTTATCACATTTCCAAGCCTATGTCCAAACAAATAACATGTATATTTGGTGCATTATATTTTAAGTTAAAAATTGATAAACTTATTAGGATGATTTTAGAAAGTGTTAAATAAATAATTTTTTTTTTATTTATTATGGAAAGTCATATAAAATTTAAAGAGGTGATATCAGTTAAATAAATCAAAAAATTAATAAATTGACTTATAAATCACTTTTCAAAATAGGCATTATTTTTAAATTTAAGAATAAACATATTTTTTAAAATTTATTTAAAATACAAATTGCTCTTTGTGATTTAGAAAATTATGAATCCCCTATTAAAAAATAACGACACCAAAACAGCTAAAATATGAGACATTTTCTAGGCCCGGTTTGGAAAGATGATTTTGAAAAAAAAATAAAATTAATAAAGATAAAATAAATTAAAATAGTCAATAATACTAAATATCACATACCAAAACATAATCATTTTATAATTTCTTTCACAATTATCAAATTAACTATAAAAAAAAAATTTACTTTTTGATAAAATCAAATTAAAATAACTAAACTAAGCTTCCGTTTGGGAAGTGAATTAACTTTTTGACTTTTTGACTTTTTTAGTCTAGCCTAAAAAGTTTGGTTTGGGAAGACTTTTTTGATTTTTTTGACTTTTTTGACTTTTTTGTGAGAGAATAACGTAATGATTATGGGTTGGACGTGATATTTTATTTTTTATGACTAAAATAGTCTATTTTATCTTTTGTGGTTAAAATAACTAAAAAAAAATCCTATTTAACTCTAGCCAAACGGAACCTAACTAAAATAATCAACGTCCGAAACGAGTTTTAAGAGAAAATCAGCGTCTCACTGTCGCTTAGATGTAGACATACATTGAATTATTATCTCGAGGGAGACAAACATTTTCTCCAACAAAAAAGTGTGGTCCAAATTTGTTTGTGCATCCAACAGAACACAATTAAAAATGAATCACACACCTCACCCTTTTTAGCAATTTTTTTTTTTTTTTTTTTGGCATAGCATGTAAGAAAGAAGAATCTTGATTGTTTGTGCAACTACAACTTTAATTTTTATTTTGACTATTTAGAATATACAAATTTTGCATTTCTTATTGAAAAAATTATAAATCAATGTAAGTTTTTAAAAATAATTTTAAATTAATAGTACATTTTATAATTTTTAATAATAAAAATTATAAATTTTTCTATGAATTTAGTGTACCTTACCCCACTAGATTCCACCCTAGGTCTGACTTCGACTTCAAAGCGTTGTTACTGAACCAGTGCGAGAACGAGTTGGACTTGTGGAGACTCATCGACACTGCTCCATTGTTGAATCGCGTGGTACGCTCTTACAGATCCAAAATTTCTCTCAATTTTGATTGTTGATTTGCCAGATCTCAAATTTAATGTCTCTTGTGTGTCACATCAACACTGCTCCATTGTTGAATCGCGTGGTACGCTCCTACAGATCCAAAATTTCTCTCAGTTTTGATTGTTGATTTGCCAGATCTCAAATTTAATGTCTCTTGTGTGTCAGATCCGTTTCTACACCGACGATGCCCTTTGTAATTGTTGTTGATTGTTCTAGTGTTGTTGTTGTTGATGATGATGATTTTTTCTGTGATATGTGATAAAAGTATTCTTAAAATTTCTCTATGATATATGAGTTTGGAGTTGAAAGACCTTATACATCATAAAATAACATTGTAGATCTCTATCATTATTAAAAGTGAAAAAGGGACCTTAGATTAATTTTTCTTTTATTTTATTAATTTTTTTACAAAATAATTAAATCAAAATGACATATACAAACCCCATTCAGCGCTCGAGCTCGTTGGGAAAGTTTCAACCCAGACTTTTTGGTTAAAATAATTATAAAAAAATAAAATAATTTTTTTAATTCAATAAGATAAAACATTATATCTAACTCATAATCATTATATTTTTTCTTTCACAAAAATCACAAAATCAAAAAAACTCATTCCGAACGAAACTTTTTAACCTCAAACTAAAATAGTCAAAAAATCAATTCACATCCCAAACGAACACTACGTTTGACACATAAATTAACTTTTTAACTATTTTTTGAGGCTAAAAAATCTTGTTTTAACATAATTTTTTTAACTTATATAAAATAAAAAATAAAATAATTATAAATTAAAAGTGATATTTTATTTTATTTAACTAACATAATTAATTTGATCACATATGACTGTTTTAACTCAAAGTAATGTCTCAAACATAGCCTAAAAAAGAGAGAGCTCTAGACAAAAATGCCAAACATTGTAGCAACATATAGGCATCACTAGCCATTATAAACCAGGAGATATATAGACTTGACAGATTACAGAAAATAAATTGATCAATAAAGAAAAAAGAGGCAGTTATAATAAAGAAAATGAAGGAACACTTTAAAATATTTGATCAAATATTTCCATTACATTAATATCGGCACTGAACATAATTAAATTTGAACAATACAATGAGTTAATTGAAGATGATCACAACACAAAATAAATACTATTGCGAGAGAGCCAAAATAAAGAAAAAAAGGGGAAAATCCAATGTTCTGCCCCCTCTTTCCTAGGCAGACCACAGTCCTGTCTATACAAAATGTCTTCCCCAAATTCCTTCCTTAATCTCTCAGAAAATTCCCCTAAAAAGAGATATCCCTACATATTTTTTAGATATGATTCCACTACTTGTACACTTCCAAATCTTCAAATTGTTGCTTCCAAAATGATATTCCTCTCTCTCTCTCTCTCTCTCTCTCTCTAATATATATTTTCATAATATTCACATTTAGGTAGAAAAAAGATAAGAAAAATAAGAAAAATATATATATATATATATAAATATCTATCACCAAATAACCCAACCCAAGAAAATCATGAACAAGAACCAGAACCCACTTCACTTTACCAGCTCAGAGACCCACCCAACATCTGGACCCGGAGAAGGTTGTTTCGGTTCAGCCCGATCCAGCGGGTTCTCCCTGCTTAATTTCTCGAACATCTTGACCCTAAGATCCCTACCCGACTCTACCCTCTCCATCACGGGTTCCTCCTCAAGATCAAACGGTCCGATCACCTTCCGGGTCGGGGTCATAGTCGGAGTCGACGGCAAGCTACAGAAAGTGGGTCGGGTCATGGACAACCTTGGTGACCCGAAACCAGACCCACTCATCTGAAGACCCCACGAAGAAGGCATGGATTTGACCTTGTTAAGCTGTAACTGACGCAGAGAGAGAACCATTTCGTTAATGGAGTTCGAACCCAGCGACGGCGACAGCGGCGGCGACTCCGACGGAGGCGAAACAGACTCCGGCGACATGAAAGCCAACCTCTGCGGCGACCCATCATACGATTCGGGCAAACCCGGAGTTCTCGAGCTCAGAACCCGAAGCTGGTCCGGCGAGTGCGCGAAGAAGCAGACCCGGCGGCGACAGTTCGACCCATCCTTACAGGGTTGAGTCCGGTACCGAGCCGGGTGGAGCCAGCACTCGAACACGCCATGCGCGAACTCACACCCATCACCCTTCTTACAATTCCCCTTCCTGAACTCGGGGCAAGCCGTACCCGAATAGTGGTACTTTCTCGGGTCTCTCCGGCGGGCTTTCTCCCCCGGATGAGCAAACGGACACTCCGTCCAGTCGTGTGATCGGCCTCGGGTACACTTTCGGACCTTGAACTCGAACATCCTGAAGTTATCGGAGTCGACTCCGTGATCCGACTCACCAACCAACTCGTCGGAGTCCAAATCGACGTCGTTTGACGGCAAGTAACGGTACAGCGCCGCCAGAGCATCGTACGGAGGGTACTCGTCGGCATTGTTGGTTACACCGTACTGAAAACAATTATCAACCGTTGGATCATGAAGGAGAGACCATGGAGGGACGTGGACCGTCGGATTTGGGAAGTGATTTCGCTCTCCTATCATCATCTTCGTTGTTTGTGTTGTCTCTGTAAACCAACTCGGTGAAGTTTGGTATATAAACTGCGGGGGTTGTGGGAGTTAACCGTGGGTCAGTTAGTTTTTAACTTTAGTTAGGTTTAAAAACTAGGAGCTATGATTTTCCACTGCGGTTAAAATAATGAGAGGCTTGCTTGGGGAACAGGTGGATGGTTGTGGTGAATTAACCAAAAGGGTACGTGGACGGTTGTGGTTGGATTTTGAGGGATGGTTTGGTGACGGGCTGTTTTGTGGCCGTAATTGGATAAACATATTTTTTTAACTTACGCGCTCTAGAGTTTCAACGGCGGTGGGCGTAGTTTAGCATGAAGGACTTGCCAGCGGAATGGGGGAAGTTATTGGTTGCTCCAATGCTAGCGTTACATGGTGCTTTATGGGCATATTTGATGGAGTGGATTAAGGTATGGAATTGTAATTATTAATTTGTGAGTTTAATTATTTTATATTTGTTTTAATATTTTGGTTTAGGATTATTAATTTAATGGATAATTAATCTAATAAATTTGTAGGATTATTAGTAATGGGATAGAGATGAGATTATTAATCCAATTAGATAGTGAATACCACACTAATTTAATTGGATTATTAATATTTCACTATTAGTCTTGTGAATCAAACATAACATATATATATTGTAACAAAAATATTTGGTAATTCCATCCCCCTAATCCCCCTAATTTCCATATTAAGTAAAGAAAAAAAAAAAAAAGGAAATAGTTGCCAGAAATGAAAATTAGGGGGATTAGGGGTGAGGATTTTAGGGCTACAAATCATTTCCCTATTTTATATTTGTTTTAATATTTTGATTTAGGATTATTAATCTAATGGATAATTAATTTAATAAATTTGTAAGATTATTAGTAATGGGATAGAGATGAGATTATTAATCCAATGGATATTAATCCAATTAGATAGTGAATACCACACTAATTTAATTAGATTATTAATATTTCACTATTAGTCTTGTGAATCAAACATAACATATATGTATTGTAACAAAAATATTTGGTAATTCCAATTAAAGGCACTATTAATGATCACTGTCACAGTGAATATTGTGTTTCTTTTCTTTCTTTTTTTTTTAATTTTCACCTTACTAGTGGTGGATTTATAACTCCTTATTTAAAACTCTAAATTATTGCTGATATTGTCATTAATTGAGGAATGGAATCTAAGATTTTATATTTGGTGATTAAAAAATATAAGGAGATATAGAGATTTGTGATCCACTTCAGATATGGTCACCTAATGTTTCAAAATCAACCAATAATTTTTTCTAAAATATATCTAAACATCTAAAAAAAAAGTTTATTTTATTAGTTTATCAGTTTATTTAAGTTGTATTATTTAATATTTTTATTTTATTTTTTTGTAATAAATAAAAAATTCTTATAATTTAAACTCAAAACAACTCTAAGGGGTAAAATGAATCTATATATTTTTTTGAAATTTAATTGAAAGGTAATTTATCAATAAAAAGTTAAAAAATAATAAAAATAAAACAATTTATTTGATATGATTTTTTATATATATAATGATTCTGTAATGTGAATACTAACTGATTTATACTTTTTAACTACGATTCTAGTCATATGAATTTAGAATATTTTTTCTTTTAAATGAAATAGACTTTTTTAGACCACTTAACCATGACAAAAGAGTTATTTGGGATGTTTTAAATAAGTGTACTTTTTGATTTTTTATGAAATGTGGGTTGGGTTTGAAATGATGTGGTACAGATGTAATGTAACTTAAATAGAATAATGACTTTTTGACTTTTTTAGGAAATACCAAACAAAGCCAAACTAAACATTCGTTTTTCTTTCATAAAAATTCAAAAATTCAAAAAATTCATCTCAAACGAGATTTTTTTAACCCCAGACAAATAACCAAAAACTAAAAAGTCAGATCACATTCCAAATGAAACCTTACATAAGTTTGGCAACAATTCAAATAATTTATTTATTGGCTTATTAATTTATTTCTACTATATTTTTTTTTATACGTTTTTTCCTAAAAGTTTATAAAGTCAAAAAGTAAAATAGGATCAAAGTTAATTTTTAATTTTTTTTTAAAAAAACATATTAAAAAAATAGAGAAGTGATGTAATCTAAAAAAGCCAAAAAATTGATTTTTAATCCAATTGCCAAAATAGGCCGAGTTATACCTAAACTCATTTGGGATTAACTTAGGTCTGGGTTGTTTGGAATGATCTAAATATATACATTTTTTGATTTTTTACGAAAAATATACAGAAAAATAGAAAAGTAATGTGACTAAAAAAAATAAAAAATGTGCTTATTTAGTACATTCTTTGTTAATTTTTTTACAAAAAGATATATAAAAAAATAAAATGAGTGATATGACAATTTGTAATAATTTTTTAACATTTTTTAAAAAAACGAAAGCCCCAATTTGATTCATTTACAGAGTCTATATAAAATAAATATTAATAATTTCTTGTCATTATCAGAAATTATATTTTGGATTTTTATTTTTTATGATTTTATTTATTTATCTATAGTGAACTATTTTCACATTCTAATCAACCCTTTTTTTGTTTTACATTTTAGATATGAAAAATGCTTGGGAGCACTAATTAGTGCTCCCACTAATTAGGTGGCAGTGGGTCCCGCCATTAATGATGTGATATTTTGGTCTTGGACTAGGAGTAGATTATGAGGGGCCATGGCCCCTCTATTTCTCTGAAAATTATTGTTTGCCATTGAATTTTGAAAATATATATATATATATATATATCATTTTATACACAAAATGGCCCCTCAGTATAAAAAAAATGTCATTTTTCTTCCATCTTAAATTCTCTTTCTATTTTACACAAAAAAAAACTTCTTGATCTTATTAGAAATTGCTTCTATGGTATTTAAATTTTTTTTATGTATATATAATTTATATATATCATATTATACATACATGTATATTTTGTGTATATGGTGAATTTTTTTTTTTTACCCCTCCGATAATGAAATTCCGATTCCGTCCCTGTGTAGGGGCGTGTAAAAACACTCGTATATTCATACAAATCACATTCACTCACTCCATCACTCGTAGCTTGAAAATACTGTTGAACTGGGTTAGAGCATCTCCAACGGTGCATTTCTTTTTTCATCAAATCTGATATCACTCGCTCCAACGGTGAACTTTCATCAAATTTGCGCCGGGACAACCGGTTGGTCGACCAGTTAGGCGAATTTTTTTTTTTAGTGGTCGACCGGTTGGTCGACCGGTAAGACAAAATTTTTTTTTTTTTTTTACTGTTTGAACCTTTTCTTGGAACTGTTTAAACCTTTTGATGGTCGACCGGTTGGTCAACCGGCCGAGCAACCGGCTGGTTGACCGGTTGGTCTCCTCCAATGGTCACAAACAGTGTTTTGATGAAATCAGTATTCTGTCTTTAGTTTGATGAATTGTTTGGTGAAATCTCATTTTGATATCGATTTGGTGCAACCGTTGGAGCACCAACAGTAACTTTTTCACCAAATTTTAAATTTGATGTCAACTTTGATGAACCGTTAGAGATGGTCTTAGGTAAGTTATATATTAAATTTATGTGTTGGGTTTTGTATCTTTTAAAATTTTTCTATCGTCCAAAATAATTGACTCAATTTATCGCTACTTATATATAAATTAAACCCCACAACTAGAGATGACTATGGGATGAGTTTGTAATCCCTTGCCGAGAGCAAATTGGGGCGAGCCATCCCTAATTGTGATTTCACACTATTTTCATTACTTTCAATCAATTTAACTTAATTAGAGGACAGTTCAATATAATAATGTCAAAATTTTATAACTATTTGTAAATTCTCTCTACGTTAGATGAGATCAATGTAATTTATTCTTTTGTTTATTATTTCAAATAGTAAACAATCACCCTGTAGAGGAGTTTATGACATGCTTGAACGCTAACTGTAGTAAAATTTTCTCAATGCACGTATCTCATTAATTTTTTTTAATTATGATTTTGTAGCTTCATAATTATAATATAATATTTTATGACTTTAGAATGTGTTTATAAAATGTATGACAATTTACAAATTGTCAACCCGCTATTTTTTTATGTTTTATTTTTGTGAATTGATCGGAAAATTATTACAAATATGAGAAAATATTATATCAAACAGGCTAATAATCCAACAAAAATCAAAAAGTCAACAATTAGCAAGCCTAACAACAAATCATCAAACCAAGCTCAACAATTACCACTAATTACATATAACCCCTATAATAGGAAGGAAAAAAAATATCAAACAGAATTCAAACTCTTTTTCCATAAGAGTTAAATTTGGAATCTCATCTTACAAAATGGTATAATGCAATGCTCGGTTTATTTGAGTGGAAAATATTTTTTAAAAAATATTTTTGTATATTTTGGCGTTTAGCAGGGGCATAGCCAGGAATTCCCCTTAGTGGGATCATTCAGAGAGAGAGAGAGAGAGAGAGAGAACAAATGAAGGAATGCATCAATGGCAATGCAACAATGGTTGTTAGAGAACGAAGCGTTGATGGAGCAAATGAATGAACGAATACTGAGCTAAAATTGACACTACTAAACAATGAATAGTTCAAAATATATGTGATATTTATCTAGATTCACTGGGGTCATTTTGTTAAAATTGACACCATTAAACAATAAATAGCTCTAAACACTTGGGTCATTTTGTTAAAATCTAAAACTATTAAACAAAATTTCATATATATTTTAACAAAATTTGAAAGTTCAGTGGTGTCAATTGACACCATTGAATTACAAACATAGCCCTGCCCCTGGTGTTTAGTACAATAAAAAATAAAGTCAACAGAAAATATTTTTCATAGTTAATAGGAAATAAGCTTATATGAATAAAAAAATATTTTCCGCTTTTAAAAAGCGAAAAACGTTTTACGAACTATAATCTTACTAATGTCACAACACTGCTACTGCTACTCTCGCCTCCACCACCACATCACCATCACCACAACCATAACCATTGCCACCATTACCATCGCTATTACCGTC